AAATATTTCTATAAATGAAAAGGGTTAATTTTATCACTTCAAAAATGTATAATTATACCCTTTGTTTTAAATTTTAAATATATTATGTACATATGTTTAATATAGAGTACTTAACAAAGGTACTTGTACAAAACTGGATTTTTTAGTAGGAACATAATTCTGAAAGAAGATTACAGAAAAATAAGAAATATTTCAGTAGCAACTAGTGGCAATGCAGAATACCTATGGGTAAAGTTTGAGTGCTGAGTTCCAGGAAAATGTGATAAGGCTGATCAATATATATCACTCCCATAAAGCTGAACCAGACACCTCTTTCTATGGCTGACTAAAACCCTTCACTAAGGTGTTTTTTGTTTGGTTTGGTTTTGGTTCAGTTTTGTTATGAGAATTCTTTTTATCACACTGCTGTGTTGCCTGACATGTACTTGGTATAGGAATTCCAGCCTGCTGTGATTCTTGGTTTTGCTTTTGTCTTTGCTTATTTGTTCTCACATGTTGAGTGGAAGAATGCAGACTCACAGGAACTAATGAGATAATTTGTAAACCTATCAGCAAGAGACATCAGAATTAATCTAGTGGTGGTCTGGTAAGAGAGGGGAAGATAATTACAGGGGTTTTATCTTAACTTCGCTTCAGGATCCTCATTTCTACTTCTGGTCAGGCTTCTGTATGCACAGACAAACCTCAGAGCCTGACATTTTTGCTCTGCAGGAACACACGATTGTCAGTTAATATGCATTCACAGAAAGGCTTGAAGTAACACTTGAGTCTGTCTATAGACAAACTTACCCCAGCCACCTCCAAATCTCACATGAAACTTCCACATGAAATTTGCTCTGCATAATCTCCTCCCTTATGCTCTTTGCCTGTAGTACTATGCAATGTGTAAACTCTGAAGCACGTGTGATATTCCATCTGCAGCACTCCTACTCTTTGCATGAATATCTGCTTCGGATGTCCCTGGAGGAGACTTCTCAAGGATGTAGCTGATCCAAAACCCATAGGGGCCATACGATTCTTAGCAACAATGGCATGTTTCTGAGAAAGCATTAAGTGGCAAAGTGGTACCCTATCACTAATGCTAATATACACACACACACACCCCTTTCTTTCTTTTTTTTTTTTTAGAGGAACTGAGGAAAGCAACCCTTCATCCAACTTTAAATCTCCTAGTTTTATTCTTCAGGGATAAGTAACAGGGATTCTCTACATCTGTTATTTGTTTTTCACAGGGAAGCAAGAAGTCTCATTGGCTTTATCATTGCTTCATTTTTCCTACTGACATTTTCAGTAGAAGCATCTGGGAAGACAACTGTAAAAATGAGTGGAAGCAGAGGGACTATGAAAGACAAGAAAAATGGTTTTATAATAATCCAAAGACAGTTTCCCAACAGGAAGAAAATCATTGGAGGGAAACTACTATATGAAACCTAGGCGATTGAGATGTTGGATAGCTACTGTCTTATTTGTATTACAAGTTTGCAGAAAATTAATGAGTTATTACAATTATTAGCAATCTACATCATTATCCTGTCAGTAAGGTGTGCCAATTAACATCTGCAGGGTTCCACACTGGATATTTGATGATTCATCAGTGGTGTGCTCAACAAAGGGCCTTCAGGATGGTAAGAGTTTTTTGCCTTGCATTGTTTGCTGGGCCCAGAGATGAGTGAACTTTGTTTCATCTTTCCTCAGGTCCTTTGTGTCTCGTGGTACAGCCATCATCTTTTAGAAAAGAAGAAAATAAAATTGAATATTTAGGAATTCTTACAGATACTGTACAGTTAGCTGGTTTAGTGACAGCTGTTAGAGAAGAGTTTAAGCCACTAGTTCTATGTCATGTCATTTCCTCAATTCCTTGAAGACTGATAAAATAATAAAGATGAGAAAGAAAAATATTAATCATTAGGATTTAAAGAGAATCTTCACAAATGGTTTATACGATAGAGAGGAGAAAGCTTAGAAGGGAATAGGGCAGGAGAAGACCGTGGCATCATACATACAAATGTTACATAAATCCATTGACAGTAAGACAAAACATGGCTTAAATTGAAGTACGGAAGAGTCTAAGCAGACACGAGGAAAAATAAAGCAGAGCCAAATAAACAATGAGGTATACTGTTCAACAAACAGGATCTACATCATCTGAGAGTTCCAATAACAAGTTAGAAAGTGGTAAAGAATGATACATCTATGGTTGATCCTGTCTTGCTAGGCACTGATGGAGTAGATGGTATCTTAAGGCATCTCCTTACATTTCATACTTCATAATATGTGTCCTCAGCTAAGTACTGAAAGTATCTGAGCTCTTTTTAACAGAATGGACTCCTCTTGAACCTTTGTGAGCTGATGAAAAATACTTTATGAACTCTTTCTCCAAGAAAACTTATTAATGTTACATTATTGCATATAGTTATTTTGCTTTATTTTAACTAACATTTTGGTTTTCAAGGGTCCTTTTAAGTGAGGACTCATTTCCTAGTAAGTAGTAAAGCTTTTAGAAAACTTTGTGTGTAAAATTTTGACAGTAAAGAGAGCAACCTAATGTAGGAACCTGCATGAACATTTATATCTGAGATGTCACTGATAAGAAAGATTTAGAGACCTTGGAAGTTATATTTTTTGCCCCAAAAGATTTCAGCAAGGTCAGTGGGAATATAAATTATTACCATATCATCCAGATGATTAAATGCCACTGTGTTTTGAGGATGAGGAATAGTTGTTTTAGATAAAGATGCTGTTTTATCTATTCTTTTCATTATCTTTCTCCTTAGCTCATAAAGCAGTAGGATAACAATTTCATGTGTATGATGGTGATAACTGTCCAGCAGGAACAAGCCTGAGACCAGCAATTCATTTCCCAAAACACATCCATTACTTAATCACAGCAAGTTTAACACTGGGATTCAGCCGAGTCACGTACATTCACCATGTTATGCTTTCCTAATTGGAGTCTTTCGTAGATATTGTTTACATCAAATGTACATAAAATTCTGTTAATGAGTTTCTGGTTCTTCCTCATGTATGATACTTATATGAACACTTTAAATGTGGGCAAATATTGCACAATGATATCTGTAGATTCTCATTCAATAAATTGTTCATGATCCTTTCATGTAAGTTGGAAAGTGCAATCTATGGCAATTTGTAAGCAGAAAAAAGCTAAAGATAGGACTACTACTCTTCTCTGATCATAAATTTGTGAACAGAAAGTTATATCAACATATTTACATTTATACTGAAACCCATTTGTGGGATTAATGAATCTTTGAACCAAGAAAAAGGTATCACAGGTGATTTGGATGATTACACCTTACAAATTAATACAAAGTCTGATAGTCATAGTAATTAATTCAAAAGCAACTCAGAGATAAAGCATACACTGTGGCAAAGCCCACTTCCAGATGATTCATAAATGGAAGAGAGCAAAGTGATCAACCATTGTCCTGTGAAAAGTTTGCCAAACTCTCATATCGTACTTCTTTTCAGCTCCATCATTCCCTTCCAGCTGTTCCCCTTTTTTCACAGCAAGGACCTCCATTACCTCCAGTGCATGGACCTGCAAGGAGGTACTGTTGGCTGTAGCTTAAATGCAGATCATCTATGATAGATGAGAAAGAGTAAAGCTAAAAAGAAGCCTAAAGCTTGTGGTTATATTAACTTCTACGTGAACAGAGTATGGATGAATGGTTGTGTGAAGGTCAGCAATTTCTGCAAAAGGAAAAGACAAAAACCATGAAAGGCAGCACACCAATATTGAGAAATCAGTCATACAGAGTGATCAAAGGGAATGAGAGGAAATGGAGCATGAGACATTTGTGACTCACTGCAATATAACCAATAGAATGTATTACAGTTAAAAAAACTCATTAATTTGAATCAAATATAGAAATTGACAATCACACAGTAAGAGAAACATAAAAGGTACCCAAAAATCACATATGTACAGCAGTTTATGTAAAACTTAACTAAAAAAATGTAGAAAAGAATACTACAGTAAAATATCTGTTTGATTTTCATGTGACAGTCACATTAAAATATTCTAAAGTCAAAAAAAGATGACATTGCTAAAGACTGAATCCTTCAAAGATGTATTCATGTGAACAATCCCACTTTAATACACAGAAACACTTATGTTAAAAGTAAAAACTCCTTCTCAGCAAACATTTTAGGAGAACTTTGTCTTCTAACCTCCCATTTTTTCTTACATCTGTTCATTTACCTTCATCAGCATTAGTAGCAGTACTAATACTGGTTGCTGTGCTGTAGTATCATTTACTCACAATTTTCATGTACTTCTATGTGTAGCAGAAGAGTTACTGAACTCAGGTAGTCCCTGCAGTGAATGTCCAGATCTTCCAGAAAGGTCTGGTTGTGGATGCCCCATCCCTGGAGGAGTTAGGCCAGGTTGGATAGGGCCCTGGGCAGCTTGGTCTGGTACTAAATGTGGAGGCTGGTGGCCCTGCTTGTGGCAGAGTGGTTGGAGCTTCATGATCCTTGAGACCCCTTTCAACCTGGGCCATTCTATGACTCCATGATTCTGTGCCATGGTGGCATAAGCTGCTTTCCAGGGACAACTAGAAAGCCAGATTCTCTAAAGGCCAGCTGTCTCCTCAGTTCCATCATTCTTCCCACAAAAATTGCATACCCAAACTGACTGCTAGCAGACATCATACAGTCACCATTTTTTTTGCCATTGAAATAGAGGTTCAAAGTGATGCCTGTTGACAGACAGCCAGGTGAGCTTTCTGACTGCCTTTCACCACTCATACCATGAAGCAGAGTTACACAAAGAAAACACTGCTGCCAACATCCAACACAAAATACACCTGCAATTTGGGGCATCATCGCATCCACTCTTATAGGCAACACTGCCCAACTCCTTTTCACCTTTTCCCAGGAGATTCTCTTAGTACTTTTGCCCCAGTTTTTCCCTTGTTGAGGATTCTTACCCCACTAGCCTTGACAGAGAGTGGAAAAAAAAGTGATGAAGCAAAAATACTTATAGCGTTTGATAGAAATTGATGGTGCTTCCTCTCACTTCTGCCATTAGTCTGGTAGGGGTAAAAATCAGTGATACTTTTCCAATTGGCAGAAGCATCTCACATGTGATATATGGAAATTTTTGGCTCAGTGTATGTGATCTGATCACTCAACTCTTCATTCCTTTCCCCTTTTCTCTACTGCATTACATTTATTTTTTCCTTAACTGAGCAACATTGTACAGCTGCAGTCATTACAACTGTTCTCAGTCTGTATTTACCTTTGGAGGTCAACAGTAATTATTCTGCCATATATCCCCCACTTCAGAACTGCAAGCAGCTTTCATGTCTTCTCTATATTTTTCCAGTTAGTCCAGAAAAAGGTATTAACTCACCCTACAAATCTTTCCATGGGGCTGGGCTGTTCTGCCATTCATACAAAGAAAATTGTCTTTCTTCTCTGCAGAGCACAATGAATTTTCCATCTTCTCACTTAACAGTTATATTTCTTAAAGAATAAAAGGAAATATAAAATTAGCGAGGATTCAGTAACAGTAGGTCAGCTATAAATACTTGTAAATGGGAAACATACAGTGAACATCTTTGGAATTATGACAATTCAGCATTCTGATTTTAGGAAAGTTACAATTAAGCTCCATTTCAATACAACCAACTCTATATTACAAACTCAACAAAAACATATGGTGGAGCAGAAGTCCTGCCCAGTGCAGTCAGTGCCTTTTACATACTTATTTAGATACAGCATTGTCATGTTTCTGGCCTGGTTCAACCTGGTTCCTTGACTAAATGGCACAGGGGGACCCATGGACTCACGCCCTGTGATGGGTCTAAAAACAAAACAGCAGCAATGAGCTAAGGGAGAAAATTAATTTACTAAATATTATAGCACAATGTGAGAGAATGCAATATAATACAATACAACTGGAATTGTAGCTAATAAATCAAGTGAACAAGAGAGAGATGGTCCAAAACCAAAGGCCTTACTCTAATTTTGAAGGTGAGACAACTAGAGAGCATACACTGCAGAAGAAGTCTCATGACTCCAGTTTTCTCTTTCCCACTAAACAGAAAATGGAAATGGAACAGTGAAGTCTTCTGGGAGATATAGTTCATTCTTCTGTGAAATGTACCTGGAACTATCTACAGTCCATGGAACTGGAGCCTTAACTCTTTAACTCACTGTACATTACGTGATGTTATGATATGGAATATCAATAACAGACATCTTGAAACCACAACAAGTACAACAGGAGACAATATCAGGCCAATATTATCTACCTTCATTAATGACCTGAATGTTTGGACAAAGTGCACTTTCATGAAGTTTGTAGATGGCACAACATTGCTGCTGATGTACTAGTTGGCTGTGCTGCCATTCAAAGGGAGCTGGATTGGCTGCAGTATTAGGCTGAAAAGAATCCCATGATATTCAACAAGTGTCTGTCAAGGAAAGACTCCCAAGTACATAAAGAGAACAACAGGATGGAAAGTAGCACTACACAAAGGAATCTGTGGGTTCTGAAGGACAAAAAGCTGACCACAAGGCAGCACTGTGCCTTCACAGCAGAGAAGGTCAATGACCTCCAGAGAGGCAAGGCACCGACAGCAGGTCAGCAGAGGAATTCCTTCTCCCGTACTCAGTTCTGGTGTGATACATCTGGAGCTGTGGGCTTACTGCTATGAGACAGGGAGCTACTGCAGCAGGTGCAGTGAAGGGGCACAAAAATAACAAAGGAAGTGGATAACCTGACATGAAGAGAAGCTGAAAGAATTGAGACTGTTCAGCCTGGAAAAGAAGAGGCTTAGGGGGATCTTGTTGATGATACAAATTCTTGATAGGAAGGAAAGAAGAAGAGGGAGCCAGATACTGCCCAGTAACAGGATAAGAAGTCATGAACACAAAGTGAACACCTGTGGAAGTCTATATAAACAGGAAAAACAAAACAACAGTTTTACTCCAGGAGCAGTTGAACACTGGAACAAATTGCCCAGAGAGGTGATGGAATTTTTGGAGATGCTCAAGCCCAATTGGACACGTCTGTGAGCAATACCCTACCTAAGCAAGTAGTGGACTAGAAAATCTCCAAAGGTGCCCTTCCAGAATTAGCAATTAAGTGATTCCAATTGAAATTCTCTGAAATCACTCTTTTTGTACCTTTGGATGCTCCCAGATCAAATCATTAGGAAATCACACAATTTCTTTCCCCAATAAGATCTAATAATCTAACACCTAGAGAGCTGTATTTTTCAAGACTGTCATGTTGTAAGCAATTACACATCTTCATTTTTTAAGTGAAGCTATATTCATTCAATCTGGAGTTTACTTTAAGTAGTCTAGACCACACTTCAGAACTTAATCACATGAGTGGTTACACCCTCACTCTAAAGGTAATGCTGCTTTTCCTGAACACTGTCTGATTTGGCCCTGTGAGCTCACAAGCTACACCTGCTCACTAACTGAAGATACAGCAGCAAAAATTATTTCCCGAGTTGTTCACTTGCATCAGTGCAAGACACTTCCAAACCAAACTCTCCAGGTGGGCTGAGAGGGTATGGTCTGTCTCCTCTGGTTCCTGACTATTGAGTCCCACCATGTCAGAATGTACAGCACGTCAAAAAGTCTGTGCAGTGCTCAAGTGAAATGGGAAGAAGCTAGGTTGGCATAATGAGATATTCTGCACAGCCCTTACCAAGCTGATGCTCAGATAAATCTCTGCTGCCTAGTGTAAACTCCTTTACCTTTTACCCCCAATTACCTACCTCATCTACTGATCCTGTAGCAAGATGAGGTATATCCATTATGCCCTACCCCCCATTCTTCAGGTGCCCTCTGTGCTCTGTCTGAAGTCAACTGAGGCTCTGCAGGTGGCAGTATGTCCTACCTGTTGGTAAGTACACAGGTTCTCCTTTCACTACCATGACATTACTACCCCAAGCTTGCACAGTTCTTAAAAGAAAAATAAAAGAACAGAAATGTTCTCTAGAAAATAAGACCGCTTCTGTTAGCCTGGGCTCATGTAAGGGCCAGTCACTGAAGGAAGTTGTTGTAGTTTGGCCAGGTTTGGTGATAGGGAGCTAAGGGATCTATGGACTGGGAAAAGGGTGGGGAAGATAGGCCTAGGCAAGAAAACCAGCAGCAGTGAACTAAGGGAAAAATTTGTTTACAAAATATAATAGCGGAATGTGAGATAATAGAATATGATGGGATTTGAAGCTAATAGCACAAATAAAATAGGAGAGATTTTACAAAACTGCATTCCTTACTCTAATGCTATAGTGAGACAGCCAGGAGCACAGAGAGCAAAGAGAGGCAGTCGTGAGACTCCGTCAGTTTTATCTTTTTGTTTGAATGCAAATGGAACAGTGAAGTCTACTGAGAGTTGTAGTTCACTCTTGTCTTCTGAGACCAGGAAACCAGAAATATTGACAAGCCACAGAACTGCAATACTAACCCTTTAACTCCAGTGCACTGCGTGATGGGATGATGTGGAATACTGACCAAAAAAATCATAAAACCAGGACAAGAGAGTATCTCTTGGACCTAGGATGCTTCCTGTGAAGGAGTGCTGTGTAGCCATAGAGCCTTATCACCAGCCTTATCACCTTATCAGGGTGAATACGATTTATCTTTCTAATTACTGGTCTACTTGTGAATACTTTCCCTGGTATCTTCAAGAATCCATCAGAAGCAATTTTGCTTCTTTGTGAGCAGGGCACCTACATTAACTTTACATTGTGCATTCAAACGTGGCCTGCAGTGCTAGTCTGCAGCCATATGCAAAGCCCTACGAAATCATTAGGGAAAACTTGTGCCAAGACATCTGAAGGCACTTCTCTGGATAACACAGGTGGGCAAAACACTGTGCCCGTTATTTCTGCCTTTGATCTCTCACTCTGATTCCCTGAGAAGGAAAGTAAAGTGCAGAAGCCAGAAGGGGATGCAAGAGGGACCATGGCTGTGCTCAGCATGCCTACAGAGCCACATGTCTTGAACTCTGACAACTACATGCAAGTCTTTGACTTCAGTGACTCTGAATAGAGTGCTCACTCTTAACTACTGATACACTAAAAAGCATTTCAGATAGTTACATTTAGTACAGTTGGAGCAAAGGTTTACTCTAGCTTGAATACATGGAAAACAGAACTTGCTCATAAGTCCTCCTAGGGTAGACATAATGGCTGCAATAAAATAGATCACTGATTTATATTTCCTGCTGTTTTCCATCCCAAACATTTCACTGTAGGAGGATAATCAGCTAAGACTAGAGATGAGCCTTTAAGAAATTAGCTTAGGAGTCACTGTGCTGTGATCAAGTTACAAAACAACAAGAGGCTGTATTACTTGGATTCAAAGTGCATGAAATTGCTATTCAATATGAAGAATGATCATTTAATATACCAACCTACTTGCCTTTCATCTGTCTTCACCACAAGACTTACAGAACTGTCATTAGAAAATGCTTGGGTATTTCTAACAGAACTTCAAAAATATGAGATTTCATTTGTCTTTATAATTTGAAAACTTTTAGCAGAAGCAGTGAATAATCTTATGTGTTTTTCCTAACTAGGTTTTATTGGTAACATTTTCTTGAAACCAAGGTTTAAGTTAAATGACTAAAAATTAATGTGTTTAAAGTTGAAGAAAATAAATAGAGAACACTTCTGAGTTTACCACTGAGTCTTCTGTCAGGATAATGTAAATGCACTACACTACAGTTTATGAGGTGAATAGTGGGAGGAGGATTATACCTCTCATACAAAGGTATTACATCAAATTCCAATATCTTCATTTTTCAAGGTAAGGGAGATTAAGAACTGACATTTCAAGACCAAGTCAGAGAACCTACTGATTAAACACTAATACAAACTGTCCCTTCTCTGCTATTATCAAGGAGGAGGGACAGCTATGGTAAAAGGAGAGCATAATTCTGTTGATTGATTTGTTGAGTCCTTATCTGTTTCTCAAGGTTCTGACATTAGAGTTCAGTATTTCATTGCTAACTGTACTTTCAGTTTGTCCTGATGTGAGAAAAGAAAATACTAGATACAACAATTTAACTATCCTTAGCTTTGTACATGTGGAATTTTAGTATATTCTTCATATCCTTAAAGATTTCTGTGTTCACATGTACCTCCCATTCACAGATCTACTCAAAGAAACCTTGAAGAGCATCTGTTTAATCACTGATATTCTGATTAAACTAAACAGCTCAATATATATTCTTTTCTTATAGGAGATATAATCCATCAATATTAGGATATAATTCACCTCTGACAGAAGAGTAGCTTCTGGCTGATGAACTGATACACCTGGTTGCCTCATTGGTACTAGTACTGATCTGTAATTAGTATCATTGGCATTCTAGTAACATTAGTCTACAAAGTAATTCTGCAAATATTAAACTTGGAGAATTGGATGCCATGGGGCTCTCTGACTTCACATCCATGATATATACATTTTAAACATTTCTGAAGTGCCTTCTTTCA